TCAAGGATAGAAGTGTGGACTCCTCAGTGTCCTCATCCCTCAAGGATAGAAGTGTGGACTCCTCAGTGTCTGTTCTCATCCCTCAAGGATAGAAGCTTGTCTTGTGCTCAGTGAACTTCCTGTCTGTTCTAACATGCTAGCATTCTAAACATGCTAACATGTTTGCCTTTCTCTTCCTTCTCCTGTCCCCCAACCATTGGAAGCAGATAAGTGACTCTGGTCCATTTTAAGGTTCTGGTAGAACGCTGGAGGATAACCACTGGTCTGCTAACCTCAAGGTCAGCGGTTCAAACCCAACAGCTGCTCCTCAGAAACCTTATACAGGGTCACTATGAGTCAGAACTGACTAGCAGCAGCTAACAACCCCACCTCCCAACTAACCTCTTGTCAATTAGCAGCTATTTTTATTTGACAACAGTAGAAATCATTGTATAGGATATTAACGTTTCCTTGCCTCCATGGTTTTAGGATGTAATTTTAAAGATGTAACTTTATTGAGGGACATTAAAAATTTAACCACCCCCATCTTAAATGAAGTTAGATGCATTTTGACAAATGAACACATCTACCCATAGAGCCATCAAACAATCAAGATAGAGCTTAGGCTCCCTCCCCTCCCGAACCAGGTGAAAATCTTTAGCACTCAGATAAAATTAATTTATCTAATCAAAATTCCTTTTTCCAGGTGATGTGTCAGTGGATGGAAAAGTTTAGGAAAGATCTGTGTTGGTTCTGGAGCAGGGTTTTCCCAATAATTTTTATGTTTTTGAATGTCTTCGTGGTTGGAATTATCGGAGCAGCTGTGGTAATAACCATCTTAAAGATACTTTTCCCAGTTTGTGAACACAAGTAAGTATATCATACTTTTGAAACAACATCAAAAAGTAAGTTACATTTACCGTATTGAGTAGAAACTGTAAATGTTAAGGAAGGGTAAGACAAGTGGGAGGGAAATGAAGGCCTACTTTTTTCTAGCCCATCTTCCAGCAAAATTAAGACATTTATCAAATACTTATAAGAGTCAAGATAACGCTTAGGAGTTTTACTATGAATAAAACAAACTGTTCAGTCTAGTAGAAGGAGATAAGTATATGAGTATCTTTAATGAATATGCAATGTGAATAAGAAACACAAACAAAACAGGAGGACTTCACTATATATGTTCAACACCAAAGCATCTATTTAAAAAAATGACTTTAATTTCAAAAGCATGCAGTGTTTATAATAGAAACCAGAAAACGGGGGGACCCCAGTGGGGTGTGACTAAGGAGCAGTGCACAGGGTTAGAGGGAGTCTCTGCAGTTGGAAAGGACAACAAGCCGTACCTACTGCTATGGAAAGTCTGAAATGGATTTGGTGGGAAGAGAAAGGAACACAGCAGTAAAGTCCCATGTGAGTAAAACAAGATACTTTTATCACTTTCCCTCCTCCGTAGAGTTAATTATTTTTTCAGCTAGAAGAAATTATTCATTTTATAATAAAATTTAAAATGATTTTTGTTGTTTTCACAAGTGATCAGCCATTTTCTTATTGTCTTAATAGAAGCAAATTTCAGTTGAGATTGAAAAGACTGCAGGATTTACCAAAAAAAAACGGAGCTACTGTGAACATTTGCTTTGCCACTTGCTTGTTGTGTGAGATCTTTGAAACCCCTTCTCCCTGTGTAACAGTGAGCGAACGCCTGCCTTGAAGGCTATTAAAAATCAGTCATAATACAAGCGGGAAAACCGGAAGATGGAAGAAATATTAGTACTCCCCCACGCTCTAGATTGGGTTTCTCCCAAAGAACTGACTGACATACCCATTCCTTTCTGATAATGACAATTCTAAAACTTAGCATTTTCTTTTCCCTCTTTGGTTTCCAGGAGGCTTTGTTTTGTTAAGTGGTGTTGAGGGTTAAGTCCTGTATAGGCTTTCTGAGGAGCAGCTGGTGGATTTGAACTGCAGATCTTGTGGTTAGTGGTCCAGTGCTTATTCTACAGCTCCTTCCCAGGACTCCATACTGAGGATACCATGTAGAAAAGATTGAATCAATTCAGAAATGTGGAGAGTAATTAAGTGAAAGTTTCCCTTCACTTCCCTGTTCTTCAACTCTCATTCATCGCCAGCTGCTGGCTGTGCATCTTGTATCCAGATTCTCTGTATTGATGTTTATTGTTTTATATATGTTTATTGTTGTTGTTAAGTGCCATCGAGTCTGTTCCAACCCTTAGCGTCCCTGTATAGGGTTTCTGAGGAGCAGCTGGTGAGTTTGAACCGCCGACCTTGCAGTTCAAACAGCTTTGCAGTCTGGCGCATTAACCTTCAACACCACACCAGGACTCTGATATGTTTATTAGATAATTATAACCGTTTACCAGCATAGATTCTTTAATTCTACAAATTTCATCTTTTGTTAAGACAGTGGTTCTCAAACTTTCTTGTTCCTAGCACCCATAGTATGCCAGTGGTTTTTCTTGGTTCTCCCAGGCCAAAAGAACATAATTTTTGTTCTTAAATGACTTGCCAGTGGCATGTAGGAGTCCTGGTATTGTATCACGCTGTAGCAAAAGCACTGGACTTCAAGGCCAGTGGTTGAGACTCACCAGGAAACTCTAGACAGGGTCACTCAGTAGGAACCGACTTAGCTGAAAGGACTGTAGTGTAACCAGATGTTGAAACCATGGAATGTATGCAGTCTCACAGAAATTTCAGCTGTGTGGATGCCTCTGAGTTTGCTGTGCTGCTCTAGGGCCTCAGTGCAGTCTGGGGACCAGGAACTTAAGATAGTTTTCTATCGATACAGAGACTCATTTACTCACGGCTGCATGGTGTCCTGCAGTCCGGAAATACCATAATATAACCATTCCTTTATTGGAAGTTTATGAAGTCATGGTATGGCACTGTGGGTTAGTACACTGGACTTCAAGGTCGGTTTGAACCGCAAAGTCGGCGGTTTGAGCTCACCAGTCACTTCTCAGAAACCCTATGCAGTGCTGCAACTGACTCGATGGCACTTAACAACAGTGTTGGACGTTTAAGTAATTTCCAACTTCACATTATTTCTAATAATGCTTTAGTATACTTTCTTGTGCCTATATTTCTTTGCAAGGAGCTCTGGTAGCGTAGTGGTTACGAATCAGGCTACAAACCACAAGGCCAGCAGTTCGAAACTACCAGCTGCTCCGTGGGAGAAAGATGAGGTGTTCTGCTCCTGTGAAGATTAACAGCCTCGGAAACACTGTGCAGGGTCACTATGATTCGGAACCGACTCCACGGCACAACACCACCACCACCAACAACATTTCTTTGCACATATGTAGATTCTCAAAAGTGAAATTACTAGGTAAATGTATTTAACAACAACTCCACCTGAAAATAATTTTGACTTTGCCACTACAGACCAAAAAAAAAAACACAACCTCCCATTTTGTGTATTCTAATTAATGTGGTCTAGCATCTTCATGATAACTGGCTGTTTAAATTTCTTCTGTGACTTGCCTATTTATAATAGTCTTTGCCCATTTTACAATTGGGTTGTCTTTTGCAATCATTAATACATGGGAGCTCCTTTCTGGGAAGAAGAGTCCAGGTGGCACATTGGGTTAGACATTGGGTTGCTAACCAAAAGGTTGGCAGTTCAAACCCACCAGCCACTCCATGGGAAGAAGAGAAACTGTCTGCTCCTGTAAAGATTTAGTCTGGGAAACCTACACAGGATTGCTGTGAATCGGAATTAGCTCTGTTGCAGTGGGTTTTTTGGGCTTTACCATCTGTAGGATGATGTCTCATGTTGAAGTTTTCCATTTGATGTCAAAGTGTAATTCATTCTTTTATGTCTACTAGGGTTTTCATTTTGCAAAAGTGGACTTTTCCCCCCCTTAAAATTAGTGTTTTCTTAGAAATTACTTTTTACCATCACTTTTCTGTGTAGTTTAAGCTAGGGTTCTGATTCTGTTTTCCAAATGGAGAGGCCATTGTCGCATCAGTAATTTGTCCCATCTTAGAGTTTGACCTTATTATAAACTCAATTCCCATAGACATTAGTCTGGCTTTTGTTCTGGTGATCTGTCTACTCATGTGGCAGTAACACAGTTTCATTCCTCTAAATGTTTATAAAACTTTTGATATTAGCAGGTAGTTCAGTCACAGAAAGGCCAAGGTTGCAATCCAGCGGTGAGTTTTGTTTAGAAATCTGTGCGGTTTTTTGCCCGTCATGTGGAGAGCTACTTAGCCTGTCCCTCCCTTCCCTCCAGTACCAAGTAGTGCACCTCCTCTTGTACCTTTATATTCCCTCAGTCAGTTTGGTTAAAGTGAACTTTGGACTCAGAGTGTTTGTACAAATACTATAAATTATTACATTTACTGAACCTAGCTATATATTAAATTGTAACCTTGAAGTAGCCCTATCTTACTACGAAACTATAGGCAGAGGAAATGTTTGATTTTGATAGTAACTAATCATCTTGTATTTCAGAGGAGTTCTTCAGTTGGATAAAATCAGTGTTATACCGGTGGCAGCTGTCAGCTTATATCCAGATGGTCCTGAGAAAACAGCAGCAAATCTAGAAGATAAAACGTGTATTTAAAACACCTTCTCAGATCATGGACTCTGGATTAAGTCTACTGCCTCCAAATTTGCAACTTGAATATAACTTTCTTTAAATCATTAGAACCAGCTTACATTAGACAAAGTGCTAAACTCCTAAGACTGCCTGAAAAATTGACCATTCAAGTGGCCAGCCCATCCTATTTTGAAACACAGCTGGCTCAGATGATGGAGTTATGAGGACAAGAAACGTGAAGAGAAGACCTCTGTAAAGACTTTGGAATTACCAAAAAGAAAAAAAAAAAAAGACAAAACACCATGTGCCAATAACTTTTCAAGGTGCCTTTGTTAAGGAAATTATATCCACTTGATTACTATAATATATAAAACTTAAAGAAAAGCACTTTATGAAATTCTAATTTAAACTTTCAAGAAGTTAACACTTATTTTTTTATCCAGTATAACGTGCCTTTGTGTTAAGTTTGTGACTCAGTATAAAATCTCTGACGTGTACTTTAATTTGATGTATACTACCTACCTTGACTACACCGGGATTTGAAAGAGTGACATGTTCTTATTGTAAACTTTGTGAGGAAAAAGTAACACTTTTTGTTGTTAAAATTACATAAGAACTTTGCCCCCGTGAGAATTACCTGACTACGTTAGGCCCTCCTTTCACTGACAGTAGCTCAAACAAGGTTCAGGACAGTTCATGAGCCCATCTACAGTTTATTATGGCATTACAGTGGGCCTTGGGGCTTGTGGTTGTAAGCAGTGTGCTGTTTACCCCCACAGCAGTGATTTTCTTACTTTTTAAATCACCCACGTTACATATATTTGACAATGTGACCCTGTGTGTCTTTATTCCATGATAAATGGATACTTGCTATTGTTTCATTAAAAACTTTTTTTGTTCACAACCCACCATTGAAAGCATTGTGCAAGAATGCAATGATTTTTTTTTTTAAGCTGCATTTAGCTTAAATTATGTATCTATGGGTGTATATGAGGGATATTTCATTTTGCCAAATGGTTGTTAATTTGTAGTGATAACAGTCCTCTGAAATGTGAGCACTAACTTCCTATTTTAGGATAAATGTTGCCAAGTGCTTCTGCATCGGTTCTGACTCCTAGACCCTGTATAGAATTTCCAAGGGGCGGCTGGTGTTGCAATCACCAACCTTGTTAGCTCAGTGCTTATTCTACAGCACTACACCAAAACTAAAGAAGGGCTCTGGTAGCATAGTGGTTATGAGCCGGGCTGCCAGCCTCAAGGTCAGCAGTTCGAAACTACCAGTTGTTCCATGGGAGAAAGATGAGGTTTTCTGCTCCCATAAATGTACAGCCTCAGAAACCCTATACAGTGTCACTATGAGTCAAAACTGTCTCCATGGCATACCACCATGGCACACCACCATCACCAACTGGCTGTTTAATCCTAAAGTCACCCAGCTAGCAATATTTTATTTATGTTCTTCCTCATTCCCTAAGTTTCTAAAAACACTCCAGGTGATGGTGGGGTCTTATTTCATGCTTTAAGTGTAAACTTAGAGAGTCTGTAGAGAACATTTTAGGCAGCTATCTGGCCAACTGGAGAGAGTTGGCTCAACAGGCCACACACCTGGTTCCTATCCTGACTTCTCACTTTTCAGTGAGTTTGGGGACCACAGCAAGGCACCCAATTAAACCTCCTTGAAGCTCTGTTCTCTTTTAGGGCTGGAATTATAATTTTTTATAAGGAATTATAAGTGAAAACCTTACCTAAAACTTTATACTATTAACTATTATTTTAATTATGCTTAGCATCCCATAGTAAGAGCTTCCCGGTGAAGCTGGCTTTATTAGAGTGCAATGAACAGGCACAGCCTTAGGGATATCTACTTGTCTAAGTGTAGCTACTTCCGCAGTCAGAGTAAAATCCTATCCACTTGTACACATTTTCCTCTTTAAATACACAGTAGAATGAAGGATTTGCCAGCACTCCGAGGACAAGAAGGGAAACTGCTAGTGACACCAGGTAGGATGGAAGGGACACTGGGCCTAGATTAAGCTTCCATCAGCCACTTCTGTAGAATCTGTAGGAATTTTCCGTTACATCCACTGGTACCCAAGGAGTGGAGACAGTGGAAGAGAAGATGCTATACTTAGACATGCCCATAAAGACAATTTTCCAAGCTAAAGTAATAGCATTTTTGTTAACATTAGTGGTTTGAGAAATAGAAATAAGGTAAGTGCTCAAATAAAACAAATTTAGCTTTCTAGCCAGCGTCGAGTGATGGGTATCTCCCGGGACAATTGGCACAAGCGCTGCAAGCCCGGGAGCAAGAGAAAGCCCTACCACAAGAAGCAGAAGTATGAGCTGGGACGCCCGGCTGCCAACACTAAGATCGGCCCCCGCCGCATACACACAGTACGTGTTAGAGGAGGCAACAAGTAGTACCGGGCCCTGAGGCTGGATGTGGGGAACTTCTCCTGGGGTTCTGAGTGTTGTACCCGGAAAACAAGGATCACTGATGTTGTCTACAATGCGTCCAATAATGAGCTGGTCCGCACCAAGACCCTAGTGAAGAACTGCAATGTGCTCGTTGACAGCACACCGTACCGGCAGTGGTACGAGTCCCACTATGCACTGCCTCTGGGCTGCAAGAAGGGAGCCAAACTGACTCCTGAAGAGGAAGAGATATTAAACAAAAAGCCATCAAACAAAATTTCAGAAAAAATACGATGAAAGGAAAAAGAATGCAAAACTCAGCAGTCTTTTGGAGGACGCAGTTCCAGCAGGGCGAGCTTCTTGCATGGATCGCTTCAAGACCAGGCCAGTGTAGCCGAGCGGATGGCTGTGTTCTAGAGGGCAAGGAGCTGGAGTTCTGCCTGAGGAAAATCAAGGCCAGGAAAGGCAAATAAAACCTCCTCCCTCACATCCAGGGACATGTATTAAAGGTGTTTATTATAAAATAAAATAAAAAAATAAAACAAATTTACTTGTAGCTTAAAAAAATTACCTTTATTCAAAACCATAAGGTTTTTAAAAAAATCTTATCATTATGAAAGTTTAAAAAAATATAGCACTCAGTGTAATGAAATACTACATTTAATTATCATTCAAACATGTCAGGCAAGTTTCTCACAGTTTACATGTGAGAATTTAGCATGATCCAAACTCAAATATCCATTTCTCATATCTTTCAATGTCGGCAGCAGATACTGATTTAGACACTTTTTTTAAAGCCATTTCAAAATCCTCCATAGTTGTTGGCATGTGCATTTCTTCTTTTGATAGATTTCGAATTTCTTCCGGAGTCAGACCTTCAATACGCCTTCTCATTGCCATCAAAGATGCATCCCTAGAGTTTGAAATTAAGAAGAAAAATCTTACAAAGTGATCCTTTTAGTGAATGAAAATCTGTGAAGAAAAAATTTTCCCAATGTGTGTAACGTTCTCCAGTTATGATCTTGTTACACATTCATATTTTGTGTAAAAATGAATACAAATGTGTTCCCAGATTGTTTTTTTGTTTTTTAAAGTACTATCTTCCATCATGAAATACAATGCTAATCAATTTAAAATATTTGAGCATGAAAGCCCAAGAAAAAATGAGGATACACTAAAGAACCTAGCAATTAGACTTCATTCTAAATGTTCAATTAAACAAAGCAGCAGCACCAGGGACAGAAGAGAAACTTTTAGCTAGAAAATGACGCATTTTCTAAAGAGCAAATGCCAGATGATCGAGCTACGCAGTCTCTCCCATTCCTCTCTGGACTAGTGCTTTTTAAATTAAAAATAAAAAACAAAACCCTCTTACAAATTTCATGCTTAAAAGCAGTCGCCATTTATGTGAAGGGACATTTGTTAAGTGCCATTGAGTTGGTTCCAACCATAGTGACCCTGTCTAGGGTTTCTGAGAAATGGCTGGTAGCTTGAACCGCTGACCTTGTAGTTCAACGTATCAATCCCAGCACTATGCCAGGTGCACACACATACTATTTTAGATAGGAGGAAATTAATGTGATCAGGCATCTTGCTATTAATAAGGATCTGAATTAATAGTGTATGAGAAGAAAACCTGCTCAAATCAGCTAGATTAGATGGTCTTTTTTCCTTTCTTAGAATAGCTAAACTGAAAACAAGATTATGCCAAATCAATGTATTTCTCAATTGTTATCTCCTATGTAACAATGGCAGTGTTTCATTCTGCTGTGCACAGGGCCTCTATGAGTCGGTACCAACTCGATGGCACCTAAAACAAAACAACATCAAGGAATGTACCAATATTCAGTATTCTTATCCAAGATAATAACTGATTTCCTTATTGTACACAAACTGTTCGAACATTAGCTTCTTGGACTTGTAGTTTTTAAATGGACTGCAGGCTCTTCACTGGCATAAACGATTAACCGTGTGTCTAACAAGAAACCGATTAACACTAAACTTGTGTCTCTGACTCTAGACTGTAATGTGGATCTTTTATTTTTCATCTATTTTATTTCAACACAAAAACTTCCTGATGGAGGTTCTGCTCACAAAAACCTGTTTTCATAATAATTGATACCTGCACACGTTGGTGATGTCTGCACCTGAGTAACCTTCCATGTTTTCTGCTATATTTGCAAGGTTAACATCATTGGCCAACTCCAGCTCACGTAGACTTATTCGTAGCAGCTCCTCTCTGCCTTTTGCTAATGGGAGAAACACATTAAAAACTGTAAGCCTTCAATACTCTTAAGTATTACTAGTTCTTGAGCCTACTTTGAGATGTTGTTTCCCAATTCTTAGAGCTAATCTGCTTAAAAATTCACAAGGCATTCCTCTCTCTCCCTAGTTTTCTAGAATCCCGATCCAGTCAAACTCAGTACAGTCTCCATCTATCGACTTCAACTCAAATGGCCAGAGACTATTAATATGGAAAAAGATAATATTTGTTTCTTAAAAGGAACTTCATTGATACCAAAGTTTCTAAGTAAAATGACCTGAAAGTAAACATGCATTTTCTAACAAGATTTAAATGAAGACACCTGACGGTAGAGGAATATAGATTC